TTTTGATATATTTTTCATATATACATATATATAAATATATGAAAAATTGATGTGTATACTCAAATAAAAGGTCTCGATAAGTGTAACTTAGAGATGAGCTTATACTTTTAAAAATGTCAATAGTTTACAAGATATTTGTTAAATTGTCCTGTACATTTTTAATTATTGACGTTCTTAAAGATGTAAGCTCATCTCGACGTTACACTTGTCAAGAGCTTTCATTTGAGTACCCACATGCATTTTGATATATTTTTCATGTATACATATGTGTATAATATATATATATAAATATATGAAAAATTGATGTGGGTACTCAAATGAATGGTCTTGATGAGTGTAATATCAAGATGAGCTTATGTCTTCAAATAAATAAATTTTTATGTTTTATAAAATTTCTGTCGATTTTTTTTGCTGTCATTTATTTGTTAAGAAAATTCTAAAAATTATAAAATATCACTAAATTAATTTTCATTATTTTTACAGTCTGGTGGTGAATTAGAAAACGACGAAAGAGCAGCTAACATAATAACTGCGCTTGTTACTTTGACAGATAAAATAGACCCCAAAGCAGTATCATCAACTGACACGTTCAATAAAATATCAATAACATATCCTAACCACTGCTACATAATTTGTTTGTCAAATAAAAAAATTCACGTGATTAAAAAAAAATTGCGCTTATCAGAAAGTCAATCAGCGACAATTGAAACTCAAAATCTCATCGATATGTAAAAATGAAAAATTATTATTATTATAAAAATAACTTTTGTAACATAAAAAGTGGAATAGGTCAGAATGTAATATAATTAATTAAAAAAAAAAAAATAATTTCATAAATTAATAAAATGACAAATTATAAATAATTTGTTACCTCATACTTAAATATTATTTATCTTTTAATCGATACTGAATAGAGAAATTAATCTCATTATTTTACAAAACATAAATACACAATTGCTGCAATGTAACTCGACGTTATACTTTTTTTTTTTTTTTTTTTTGTATCACCATACAAGAATTAAAAAACTGGGTTATAAAAAGTCATTACGAACAAAGTAACAAAAACAAATAAAACCCACTTGTGTTATTGTTTGTATTCACTAAATTCAGTATTTTAACTAAGTCGATGAAAACGACGATGAAGATGATGAAGAAGTAATTCGTCTTCTTGGCCGTTTTTCAGTTTCACCCCGCGTTTTAACTCGTTTCTTTTTGCTACTTTTTTTATGGGACTTAGTCTTGTGTGACTTCGCTTTAGAATTAGATTCTCCCTTGTACTTTTTTTCACTAGACTTGGAGGCTTTATGTTTGTCTGAAATTTCACTGCATTGGCTATTTGATCTGTAAGCTTCTTCGTCATTTTGAGAATCAGTCATTGCGTATAAATGTTTATTTTTTAATTTTTTATTAGCTATCTTGGCAGCTTTACGCTCTCTGTACCTTTCATTTACTGAATAATGTTCACTAGCATCACTTAATTCTTCCCGAGATCTGCTTCTACTTCTACTTCTGCTCTTACTTCTACTTCTACTTCTACTTCTGCTTCTGCTTCTACTTTTACTTCTTGATCGTGATCTATTATGTCTACGCAAATTATCAGACGTGCTCTTATGTTGTTTTGACGACCGCTTGCTCTTCGATCGTTTTTTCTTCCGAGATTTATCAACTTTATATTTATCAACCTTATAACTACTAGAAGTAGTCAAACTCGTTGAGGTAGTGTCCAAGCTGCTGTTACTAGACTCACTTTCACTTTCACTGGAACTACTGCTAGTACTGCTAGTGCTGCTGCTGCTGCGTCTAGTTCTTCTTTTATGTTTCTTCTTTCCATTTATTAAATCCTTCCTTACTCGCACGCGGCAATTAATCTTAGACTTGTCATCTTTGTCTACCGTCTTGGAGGACTCTTCAGTATTACGAGAGCTTGGTTGATCTTCATCAGACTCGCTGGAAGATATGTAGGCTCTAGTTGTCTTCCTGGAGTTGTTCAACGACATGCGACGACACTTGGACTCTCTGGGACTGGGGCTGTCCGACGAGCTGTAACTGTGCTTGCTACGTTTCTTACTTACATCACTCTTCTTGCCCGATGACTTTCGTGGACTCTTACTTGGCTTTGATACTTTTGTTGAGTGCTTTGAAGTGCGGCGATTGGCTAATTTTTTAGTTTGGCTCTCTTCAAAGTCGCTGTCACTGTCACTAGATGACTCACTTGATCCCGGAGATATTCTGTCTAGTTGACGAGTGCTGGTTTTTGATTTAGAATTTTTAGATAATCTTCTGCTGGATTCAGATGTACTTGGTTGGTCATTTATTGGAGATAATGGAGATGGAGATCTAGGTCTGAAAAAATAATTTTGATTGATTGGTTCATAAAAAATAATAATAATAATAATAACTAGCAACCTTGCAGTCACTATGTGACTACCGTGACTTGTAAATTATAAATAAATAAAATTTTGCTTTATTAAATAATTACTTTTGTTAAATTGCACTGTACTTTCTTAAATATTGACGTTTTTAAAGATATAAGCTCATCCCGATGTTACACTCATCAAGAACTTTCATTTGAGTACTCACATGCATTTTTGATATATTTTTCATATATACATATATATAATATATATAAAATATATGAAAAATTGATGTGGGTACTCAAATGAAAGCTCTTCCCGATTGCAACATCGGGATGAGCTTATATCTTTAAAAATGTCAATAGTTCACAAGATAGCAAAGTCAGTTCTTAATTATTGACATTTTTCAAGATATAAACTCATCCCGATGTTACACTCATCAAGAGCTTTCATTTGAGTACCCACATGCATTTTTGATATATTTTTCATATAAACATATATATAAAATATATAAATATATGAAAAATTGATGTGGGTACTCAAATGAAAGGTCTTGAAGAGTGTAACATCGGGATGAGCTTATATATTGAAAAATGTCAATAGTTCACAAGATATTTGTTAAAATGCCCTGAACTTTCTTAACTATTGACGTTTTTACAGATATAAGCTCTTTCCGATGTTACACTCATCAAGAGCTTTCATTTGAGTACCCAAATGCATTTTTATATATTTTTCATATATTCATATATATATTATAAAATATATGAAAAATTAATGTGGGTACTCAAATGAAAGGTCTCGATAAGTGTAATGTCGGGGTGAGCTTATATCTTCAAAAATGTCAATAGTTTACAAGATACAAGGTCATTTCTTAATTAATAATAATAATAATAATAATAATTACGATTCTAGATCAGGCACTGAATTACTGCTAGCATTAATAATTTCTTCATCACCCGAAGACATAAGCTCTATTATTTCTGGTGTTCTCTCACATCTTGGTTTAACATATCCTACTATTTCACATTCTGATTCCGACGAGCTCGATGTTATTGTAAGAACAAATGGACGAGCCTCCGGTGTTTGGAGTTGTAATACTTGGCTAACTGTACTTGGACCTAATAAAAATTAATATTATTAAAAATCCTTTTAGAAAAAAATTTCAATTTTTTTAATTACCTGGAAAACTTATGAGATGAGGACCAACTGAAGGGACTTCAGAACCACTTGGATCAACATGGTCAACAACTCTTATGTCAGAATCATCAGATATCGTACTGCTGGTGCTGCTTGAGGTTTGAGATTGTACATGGTGCCAGTATCCTAAACCCGAAAGGCCTGAAATAAAATAAAAATAAATTTTCATTAAAAAATAAAAGTAATTTTGTTTTAATAAATTTGTTTTAACAAACCATGAGGGTTAAAACTATTGTAATAAGTAACAGTGTCATCATAAGCGGCCATAGTCAAATCTGTGCTCGCATAATTCATAAGTTCATGAATAAAATGGTCTGTTTCTAATTGAAGAAGTGGTCTTATTTCATTCCGAAATTCAGGACTTCGCATATCGTAACGTTGTAACAAACTCGTAATCCTGTCTAAAACATAAGCGATGGGAGTCTGTTCGGGATTAAATATCGTTTGTAAGTCCCGATTTATCCATGGAATTAAACGGTTTATTTCCTGAGGGTATCTCCTGATAATAAAAAAAAAAAAAAAAATTGTTTGTTTTAGATTTTATCACCATTAATTGAGTATAAAATTATAAACAGTAGAATATTACCTGTAATATTCAGCACTACATTGACGAAACCGCGAGTACACATTCGATACTGGATCAGACCATTCACCGGACCTATAGATATTCCGACGTTGTCTTCGTTCCTGTGCTGACACAGGTGGTGGATGAGAAATGGACACTGGTGGTGGTTCTTGACGCGAGTGATGGCTGGAGTTTGCTTGGAGGCCAGCAAACAGTCGCCCGTAACGACGGCTTGGTGTCATTGTTGTTCTAAAAAAATTATTTTAATTTATCAATTCAAAATTACTTAATGCTTAAAAAATTAATAGTTTCTCAGCTGGTAATAAATTCATAAAAAATGATACTCAAGTCAGCTGACAATTGTTATTTTTACAAGGGAAATTTTTTTATTTAATAATTTTATTGCTACTAGCAACCTTGCAATCACTATGTGACTGCCGTCACTTGTGGAATATAAATAAATAACATTTTGCTTTATTAAATAATAAATTTTGTTAAATTGCCCTGTGCTTTCTTAACTATTGACGTTTCGAAAGATATAAGCTCATCCCGATGTTACACTCATCAAGAGCTTTCATTTGATTACCCACATGCATTTTGATATATTTTTCAGATATACATATATATCATATATATAAACATATGAAAAATTGATGTGGGTACTCAAATGAAAGGTCTTGATGAGTGTAATGGCGGGATGAGCTTATATCTTTAAAAATGTCAATAGTTAACAAGATAGCAAAGTCAGTTCTTAATTATTGACATTTTTGAAGATATAAGCTCATCCCGGAGTTACACTCATCAAGAGCTTTCATTTGAGTACCCACATGCATTTTTGATATATTTTTCATATATACATATATATAATATATATATAAATATATGATAAATTGATGTGGGTACTCAAATGAAAGGTCTTGATGAATGTAACATCGGGATGAGCTTATATCTTTAAAAATGTCAATAGTTCACAAGATGTTTGTTAAAATGCCCTGTACTTTCTCAACTATCGATGTTTTTAAAGATATAAGCTCATCCCGATATTACACTCATTAAGAGCTTTCATTTGAGTATCCACATGCATTTTGATGTATTTTTCATATATACATATATATTATATATATAAATATATGAAAAATTGATGTGGGTACTCAAATGAAAGGTCTCGATGAATGTAATGTCAGGGTGAGCTTATATCTTCAAAAATACCATTAGTTGACGAGATAGCAAATTCAGTTCTTAATTATTGACGTTTTTAAAGATATAAGCGCATCCCGATGTTACACTCATCAAGAGCTTTTATTAGAAAACCCACATGCATTTTTGATATATTTTTCATATATACATATATATAATATATATATAAATATATGATAAATTGATGTGGGTACTCAAATGAAAGGTCTTGATGAATGTAACATCGGGATGAGCTTATATGTTTAAAAATGTCAATAGCTCACAAGATAAATGGTAATTTCTTAATTATGTATCTAGAGATGGAGCATTTTTGAATGCAGTCTAAATACTTATCATCATAAATTGACTATAGGTGAGAATGATATGAAACCTTGAAAAGGTACAAATTTAAATTAAAACCTTTGCACCTAATAATATAGATAAAAAAAATTCCAAAAAAATTTTAGTAAATTAACTTTAGTCTTTTATAAAGAAAATATTAATTAATGTTATATGATAAGTTACCTGTATGCAAAACGCTGGTAAGCACTGATAGAAGCATTCGAAAGCGCACTCGACAAAGCAAGCGCTTGAGTAGTTATATGGGTTTGAGATATATGGGTTTCTCTTGGTACATGGTACTGATCATAATCCTCCTCGGATCTGACATTGTGAATAATCGACTTGAACGTTTGTTTACATAATGGACACTCGGTTTTTATCCTCGACCACTGCAATAAACAAGTAAAACAGAACTGGTGCAAGCAGCTGTCAGTGAAGGATGTGTTTATCAATTTTCCAAGGCATATGCTGCAGTTTGGCGGCGGTGAAGTTGCTCCATCACTTCTTTCACCAGAGTTAGATGCTGCTGGCTCTTCAGCTTTCACTGGTTCTTTAGTATTTGTCTCAGGATCTTCCTGATTGATAGGATTCTCCATATTTATTTAGATTTTTGGTTATGTACAATTCATTTGTTTCTGAAAAATAATAAAATCTTTATATAATTTTTATTTTAAAAAATTAAATTTATGATTTTGTTTCATTTTTACGTCAATTTTTTTTGCCAGAATTTATTTAGGTATTATAAAATTATTGAATTTACTCTAAATTAATTTTATAAAATTAAAGCTAGCAATCTCTTGACCATTTTTTTATTTTTTTAACAAACAAATTTGTATAATACTGATAGCTATCAGCTGTCAATTTTAAAAATTTTTCAACAAATCAATTACAATAAAAAAATACTTCTAAAAATTTTCACTTGTAATTTTTATTAATTTTCACATGTGGAATTTTTTAATTAAATTTTTTTTTATAATAATTGAATTGAGCTGATATTTAATAATTATAATAATTTTTCTAGTAAATAAATTGCTGCATAAAAAAAATGAGAAAAAAAATTAACATTTAGAAATTTTAATAAATTTAAAATGTAATTTTTTAAAAACAATTTTTAGGAACAAATTTTATGACATTAAAGTTAACAGTCACTTCACAATTTTTAAACTTTATTTAACAAAAAAATTTCATCCAAAGAATTATTTTTAAAAAATCGCATTTTTAATTTTTTAGAATATATTTACAAGTTAATTTTTTAATAATTTTTTTGCACTAATTTGTTTCTTAAAAAAATTCTAATAATTATTAAATATCTGCTACTTTAATTTTAATACAAATTTTTTTATTAAATAAAATCAAAAAATGGTTAAGTAACAGCTAACATGTCATAATAATTTAATTATTTTAAAATTCTAAAGAAATTTATTAAGTCTGTCAACTTTAGTGTCACAAACTTGTTCCAAAAAATTGCATTTTTTATTTTTTTTTTATTTTCTACACGTCAATTTTTTTTGCCATAATTTATTTATTAAAAAAATTATAAAATATCTGCTAAGTTAATTTTCATAAAAATTTTATGTCCAAGTGAGTGAGTAACCTAAAAATAATCAACTTACCATAAAGATTAAAAAAATATCCACAATTTCAATTGTCTTCTTATTATTTGGTATTTAAAAATTTGATTTTTGCCATAAATCACGTCAATTAATTATTGAATAATCTACACTATATTAAATTCAGTGAATTAAAATAAAATTGGCAGATTCACGTTAGAACAGATGAAAACTCCGTATAGATGCGTTATTGATTGTGGTAATAAAATACACGGTATTTAATTTATAAAAATTGTAATAATTAAATTGAAATTTATAACTTTAACTATAACTATATATCTTAGAAAATGTTTTAACTATGACGGATTTTATAATTGCATTTCCTTAAGCATCAGAAACTAGCGTGACACTTGGATTTAATTACTCAGGCATCTGTGGATACTTAAAATTATTTATTTCCCTTTTCCACGTAATTGTATCAACGTACTAGTCAAATTAAATTATTAATCTGGAGTAATTGTTAAAGAAATTTTATTGTAAAGAACAACAAACGAATCAGTTGTTAAGTAATGAATATTTACGTGTGGAAACAAGAAAAAGACTATAATCAACTATGGATATATAATATGTTGAAGTTGAGAATGATTTTACAGCGAACGGGGAGACACTACTTCCTTGTCTTTCTCATGCATTTTTACTCTTCGTATTTGCGCATGCGCACTTAATTTATTGTACTTTCTTAATTCTATGTTATTTGTTTAATTAAAATAATATATATTAAATTTATTTATATATTAAAAATTTTAATTTTTTTTTCACTTTGTTTTTTTCAAAAAAAAATATATATATTTTAGTAGATAAAATTTTTTTATTTTAAAAAATTTATTAATTTTTTAATCTATTAAAAATTTTATTTTTTTTTTTATAAAAAACTAATTAAAGTTTTTTTTTCAATTTTTTAAATTACAATTGAATTTTCATAAATGAAAATTCAAAAAATGTAAACAAATAAATTTTTACCGATAATTGGCAAGAATTGAGTGAAAAGCGCAAAAGGTGTCTCTGATATAATTTTCTTATCGCAAGTTTTAAATTCAAATATAAATTTTTAATTTATATTTTATATATCCCGACAGGAAAATTGACTTAAATTTATTTAGTCCTGATATGTTGCAACCACAAGATCAGGAATCCAGAAGATTAGAGGGACAGATTTTATTAATAAAATCATGATTGAAATTATTTAATGTATAAAGTATATTGTTGAATACAAATTTAGTTTCATTGATTAAATTACTAACAAATTTTTATCTTATAGTAAATTAACATTCAAAGTTTACTCGGGAGAATTACAAAAGAAAGTTCTTCAAAATTGCTTACTTGATTCAAGTAAATTTTTTTTCTGTGTACATAGATACATATTTTATTTATTTATTTATTTATTTATTTAACACCAAGCGACAAAGGTGCTAGTGATCGGTGGAAAAGGCAGGACCCTCTCTGCAAATTGGAAATACGGCGAGGATCAACTAGAAGAAGTGAAAGACTTCAAATACCTGGGATGCTGGATATCCAGCAGCAACAGCTGGAAGAAGCACACTAACGAGATGGCAGCCAAGGCCAAGAAAGCACTAAACTCCACGTGGGGGCTGATTGAGAGAACAGGCAGAAACTCACTCAAAGACAGGATGTACCTTTACAACTCCCTAGTAAGATCGGGGGCTCTCTACGGAGTAGAGATTTGGGGTTGGGAAGGCAGCAAGGCAATAGAAGCAGTGTATAGCAGATACTGTAAAGCAGCGATGGGCCTAGCCAGAAACACTCCAGAATACATCTGGAGGTGTGAGGGCGGGCTTGAAAACCTAAAATATATCTGTAGAGAGAGAGCAGGCCGGTATCTTCTAGATGTGATGAGAATGGAGGAAGGCAGATGGCCAAAAGTCGTACTGAGAGAAGAATGCAGAGGAATCTTGAATGGCAGGCCGTCAAAGTGGGGTAGCAGGCTGACCAAGGCCCTGGAAGAAATGTGCTGCAAGGATATAATAAAGATGATATGGGATAAAGTGGAAGTGAGCCAGATAGAGCAGAAATTGCAAGAGGGCTTGCTCCACCTTCAAGCCATAATGAGGGAGGAAGAGAACAAAAAAATCATGGATTCATCTTACAACCCTTGGTTTAAATTCCTCAAGACCTGTATGGAAACTGAACCGTATTGGATAGACAGAAAAACACCAAGTTGGATGAAATTAGCCTGGTGCAGAATCAGATGCGGCAACATAGGAAAGGCAGGAAGAAGGGCTACAGGGATTGGCTATGTCGTTTGTGCCAAGGTGAAGAAGAGACCTTAGAGCACATATTCAGATGCAGAACATTACAGAATAGTGTCAAGGCAGAGGTGAGAAGTTTTGTTTTGAATTGGATGGGTAGAAAAACAGGAGCAGACTTTGACTGGTTATTAATACAGACACTAAGAGGTGAACCAGTACAAGAAATCTGCTAACTCGTTGGTAAATTTCTAAAACTCACAAGAGATGGGGGTGACCCCTTGCCTGAAGTACATGATGCAGCAGCCCAACAAATCCTGAACAAAGGTGTTTAGATGGCATCCAAAGAAGTAGACACCCAGTGCAGAATATTTATTTTTTATAATTGCCTCTCAGAGGCTATAGTAAATTCTTTTAATTTTAATTTTAACCAACAAGTGCCATAAAAGTTAGTTTGTAGAGCCTTTAATGTAATTTGATTCAACATAAAATGTTCCAAAAGTTTCTAAATTTCTAAATTACCTAAGCTAGTGAAAAGTGATATTAACAATAAGACGAAATCAAGTATTTAAGTAAATGTGGTGCTAGAACCAGAGCTTTAAATATTTTTTAAGATGCAGATTTAATTTTAAGAAACTGTGATGAAAAATTGTAAAAAACAGTTATTACTGTTTTACAATGCAAAATAAATATCTATCTATTTAACACCAAGCGGCAATATACATAAAGATATAAATGATATAATATTAAATTTATCAGATAAATTTAATCGAGTGATATTTTGTTACATGATGGTGAAGGGGACAGATAAAAAAAAACAATTTTGAAAATCTAAGGTAAACTTACAAGTACTAGGTGAGGAGAAAGCAGAATTAATTTTGCATGGCTTTTTCTTAAATTCATTTTGGAACAAGTGAAAATAATTGAGATATTTTTAAAACATAAAATTTCTATGGATCATTTTCAATAAGATGATTAATAAAGAAAAAAAAACAGATATTATCTTTAAAAAAAATCAGTAGTAAGCTATAAGTTATTTTTTATGAAAAAAATAGTTATAAAATTAGATTACAGATATTTTTTAATCAACCTAGATATGAAGTAGATCAATCTCCTGAAAAATATTCATAAATAATTTCAAAAAATAAATATCTCCAATTTTTAGCTGTCCGTTATCCAAATTGATGATTTAAAAAATTGAAAAGTTGTTCGAAGCTGCAGCATTTTAATTAAAATTTTGCGTTAGATCTTCTTTAGAGTGAAATTTTATCTTTGTGTTTAAAAAAACTGCATTTAATATCGCAAACTGCATAAAATCGGTTTATTCGTTTAGAAGATTAAAAATAGGGAAGAAAAAATTTTTTATTTTTTTTTTATTTATTTAATTTTAATGCCAAGGCAGAAGCCAAATGGCAAACTTAATACATATTAAATTAATGTAAAGTTCACGTGTAATTCACAATAGCTAGTAATTTATCAAAAATAATACACAAGAATATTAAATACTTATTTAACACTTATCCAAATTTATACAAATTAAATTAAAGTTTAAAATTTGAGACTGCAAAAGAATTTTGATTGCTATTTTATATTAGCTTACTGATTTTCCACGAACTCAAGACTTATGAAGAAATCAAAGGCTTTTTAGATTTAAGAGATTTTAGGGTTGTTATGTTGATGAGGTCAGGTGGTAGATCTCGCCAAAGTCGTACTATAAACGATATTATAAATGAGTGTTCATAGGTAGTAGTAGTGAAGTTGGGCATCTTGAAGGTGACATTA